AAAAAAAAAATTAAAAGTAAAAACCAGATCTGGTGGGTTCTATCGCTTAGTCTTGGAATTTCGGATGAGGACTCTTTAAATTCCCGTGCCACAAATGGGCATTAATTCTATAAACTGGGTGTGTTGGGCTTCAAGATGAAGTGGTTCTGGCCTATATTTCTCAAAATGCAGATGGGAAATTATTCATAAGTCCTGGAATTGGTTTTAAGGGGTATAGCCAGCATATTAAAGTACTAAAATGGAATAGAGTCAAATAGTCTGGACTGACTTGAAAAAAATGAAACACGGTAATTATTAATTTGAGTCACTTTGTCTTCACTCACGCACAACCCACCATGTGTGTAGCTTCTGGGATTCAATGTGTTATGTGTTTCTTATGGTAGGGAGGGAGATGTTAAAAAGCTTGAAAGCCCTTAACTTTAGCTGGGTTTCCTAATCATCCCAGTTTTGCTGCAAAAGCATTCCTCATCATATAAAAGGATGGTCTGAAGTGTTTGAAATGGAAGATGCCAAACCACCAATGCCAGAAATCCAATGCTCCCTGACCAGGATATTTTTGTTATGATGAGAAATCAAAAAGGTCAGTTACTGAAAAAGTGGTCTTTGCCATCCATGAACCATCTCTGAAGACCCTGCTCCAAGAAGGAAGAGCTTGCTGTAATTCTTGCTGCACAAAATGGGCCCAGCTTCTGAACCCAATGGCATTTCATCTCTGTCTCAGCTCTGGCCCACAACACTCAGAACAATGAAAATAGGAGTTGTATGGTAGACCTTAATGACCAAGGTTTGTGTTCTAGGCCAGGATGCCTCTGTAATGACTTGGCTCCATCTTTCATGAAATTCCAGCACTCTCCTGGGGAGTCTGCTCCCATGCCCATTGGCCAGTCCAAACCCTCAAGCCCCAGATGATTCAGGGTCCCAACTTTGGTCCCATCCTTATGGGTCCAGAATCAGATTGGGGCCACCTTTCATATGTGGTCTCCGTGACTTTGCATCTGGCCTGGTTGAGCTTCCAGAGGGAGCATCCTAGAAGACAGTATCCCAGTGTATGGCTAAGGTGGGGCACGTTGTTTTGCCTCTGGAAGACTGGAGTCTTGGTGTCAGCTTCTGTGTCTCCCTCAAGAAGGTAACACTAAGAACTGTCAGTGCTGGGCTCCTTAGTCTTCAAGGGGGCCCCTGATCATGTAGGTCCACTTGGGCTTTTTCCTCTCTACTCCTGCTACTTCAGGACTGTCCTGGTGCCAGGTGCCTCTGGCCAATGTTCCTGTTGAAGCATCTGAATTACGGTCCCAAGCAAACAGTTGTTCTTCAAGAGAAGCTGCTCAGAAAGCATTTGTTTTCCTTAATGTTTGTGCTGAAGATCAAGATGACACAATAAAGTCAGGAACGTACCACAAAATTGATAAATAGAAGTTGTTCCGTGTTACTCCTCCTTTTAGCACTTTATGCCTTGTATTGTCTTTTCTCTCAGATATTAAAAGTGTATTTTAACATGCAGCTTTTGGTGTTGAGATAAATTGTTTAATAAAGGGCTGTGACAAATAATTGGGCTCATAGAAAACACAGCTTGGGGCTGCTGGGTTTATGAAGACCCAGATATTTAATTTGGGCTCCTCATGTTTAGTCAATAGAGGGGGGAAATGCTACCATAGGGATTTTCAGCTATTTGTATGTTTTTTTTTTAATTTTATTTTATTATGTTATGTTAGTCACCATACAATACATTATTAGTTTTTGATGTAGTGATCCACGATCCGTTGTTTTCATATAATCCCCAGTGCTCCATGCAGTACGTGCCCTCCTTAATACCCATCACCGGGCTAATCAATGCCCCCTCCCCCCTCCCCTCTAAAACCCTGTTTGTTTCTCAGAGTCCATAGTCTCTCATGGTCCATCTCTCCTTCTGATTCCCGCCCCCCTTCATTTTTCCCTTCCTTCTAATGTCCTCCATGCTATTCCTTATGTTCCACAAATAAGTGAAACCATATGATAATTGTCTTTCTCTGCTTGACTTATTTCACTTAGCATAATCTCCTCCAGTCCCATCCATGTTGATGTAAATGTTGGGTGTTCATCCTTTCTGATGGCTGAGTAATATTCCATTGTAGATATGGACCACATCTTCTTTATCCATTCATCTGTTGAAGGGCATCTCGGCTCTTTCCACAATTTGGCACCAAAAAATCCCTTATACATATCCTGATACCAGACAATAGTGTTGGCAGGCGTACCATTAATCAGCTGTGCAGCATTCACCCTTTTGGGGGGGTGTCACTATATGGGGGAAGGTCATTTTGGCTTTTATGTCAATGAGGCTGTGGCGTGATTGGTCTTCTGCTGTGTTTGGTGCTCCAGCTCCAGCACGAATCCTGACCTTCAGTGGCACAGTGACTACTCCATGGATGAAGGACATCGCCTTGCCTTGTAAAGCTGTTGGGGACCCTTCTCCTGCAGTAAAATGGATGAAAGACAGGTAACCAGTAACCTAATGTATGCCTTTAGTGAAACTGTAAGAGATTACACAGACATACCAGGTTGGGTCTGGTGGTCTAATGCTGTATGCATTGCCACTCATGAAAATACCGGGAAACACCAACTCTTCTGAGACGGGAGAGGAGGTGGAGTGAGGGTGGAATCTTGGCTTTAGTGCTAAAAGGGTCTGGTGTGTTGCGTCTATCTTCCATAAATTCAGAGCCTTTAAATTCATAACAGAATGCTTGCAAGGAAAATAGCCTAACCAATCCAATAATCTCTGTACTTTTTCATATAAATTTCCTGTATAACTGAGATGATCATGCCCAACATCATAGGAGACCTGGCACCTGTCTTTCTCCTTATAAGATAATAGTCCAACTAACCCTACTTCAAATGCTCTGAGAAATGACTTTAAGAGACAGAATGCATTAGGACTTAGTTAATATAAAATCTGGTTTTCCATACTCAGAAGTAATTATTAAAATAATAGCAGCCAAGATAGGAGGCAGAAAGTGGGTGAGATGTATTCTATCCTGTACCTTTTCTAAGTGCTTTCTCTATGTTCAGAAGACAAAATTAGGATATAAATAAAGAGCTGACAATTCACTAATGAGCATGGAAATTTGATATAAAATGGATTCAGAAGAGTGCCTATTTTAAACAAAAGCACTTAAAAGACAAACTATTGAAATAATGGTCTTGGTCCAGGGACCACTTTTCTCATCTTTTAAAATCAGTTAATCCAAGGAAGTAAATAAGCTCCCAGGGTCAAGAGCCATTCTGCCTGACGTGGGGATGGCTGGACAGTTGCCACCATGGTGGAGGTTATAATGGGGAGGGAACTCTTTTGTTCTAGGACCAACACATGACCCCTTGAGAGACCACAGTTCACTTTTTTGGGATCAAAATCATTAAGAACTGTAAATCTAAGTAAGTCCACAAGAGACTGCCACATTTAGTTGTCCCTATGTGATTGGGTCAAAATGGCATTTCTGCCCCAGAAGGAATTCCCAAGAGGAGGTGGCTGGTGTCTACATGGTGGAGGAAGGAGAGGCCCATTCAGGATGTGGTGTACATTGACATATTTGAGAGCCAGAATCCCAGCCCTTGTCACAGATCTAACCTCCACATAGCATGCTCTACAAAGAATGAAATTCAGCTATTTGATTGATTGTTTTTGTCATGTAATCACAATTTAGCTCCAAGTGTGTTGTTGACCTCAGAGAGAGTCTTTATGCTTTTCCGCAGCCTCAGCTAATTTGGATTGTAATTTCTTTAATCTGTGCCCTTTTTTTCCTGTGAGGTAGTAACGGGACACCCAGCCTAGTAACGATTGATGGGCGGAGGAGCATCTTCAGCAACGGGAGCTTCATTATCCGCACAGTGAAGGCGGAAGATTCCGGCTATTACAGCTGCATCGCCAATAACAACTGGGGATCAGATGAAATTATTTTAAATTTGCAAGTACAAGGTACAAAGTTTGAGGACTCTTTTTATGACATATTTACTATGTATGCCTATATGCAAAGAGTAAAATTGAACAAACTTAAAAATCAGCCTTTCTAAAGAGCTAATTGCTATTTTCATATTACAGAAAAATACACTTGTTCATTTTGGAAAATGTAATGCAGCAAATCAAAGAAAATAAAAACACTCATAATCTCAAAGATGACGCTATTTATATTTTTGCATAGAGAGAACCTAGTCAAGAATAATGAGACTGAGAAAGTCCTTGATAACTTTCACTAATTGCACAGTTTACTCTACATATGTGTAAGTGGAACCCAAAAAACACAGACAAAAAATAAGTCTGAATTGAGTTCTTTCATCTACTAATTAAATTTTTATATGCAATGTACATTAAAAGGTCACGAACTGAAACTCTTAAGTGTATTGCTATAATATTTAGTTGGGTTTTTAATACAGCATATGTGGTTTTTCTTGATATCAAGCACAAAACGTACATGACAAATTCAAGATAGTTAAATTAAAATCATGTGTAAAATCCCAAATGGCCACTGACTGGGTTCAGGTTTGGATGCACTGTGATATTTTATTAGTAGAAAAACCAAAGGGTATGCTTCTTGGGACTTAAGTGTTGTCACATTAGTAAATCACAGCGAGTAAAAATAAAATCAATATTGTCCTCAGTGGGAGGGAAGAGGAGGAGAACAATCATATTTTAAAAAAATAATGCAAAATTGGTCTGAAATTTCAAGTAAATTGGAGTCTATAGAATTCCATGGTGTTTCAGAAGATGGACATGATATCGTGACTCTAAATAGACGGGGCAGGTTTTCACGCCTTTGGGTTAATATATATGGGCCTCTCTCAGAGGAAAAGAGATGGACATTTTATGGGAAGTTTCTCTACAATTTGGATAACCTGATTTTGAATTTCTTCAATGTTTCTGTCCTCGGTGCTGATCCAAAATAATACTGAGGCCCATTGGTTAGAAGTATGTGTTCTTCAAACCTTGTATGAATGTGCAAGTTCTTGTACACAGCCACTCAGTGGCACACCTTTGATTTCCAGAACAGAGCGCGTGTGTGTGTGCGTGTTTGTGTGTGTGTTGCATCTTGGGGGAGTAGCTAAAAAAGTGGAAACTTTTGCAATTCTTTTTCCCACTAGCCACTCTCCCCTACCCTTTCTCCCTCCCCTACTCTTCCCTCACCCAATCTCCCCTCCCCCACTCTTCCCTCCCCCGTCGCATCCCTGGGAACAGAACAGCTACGTGGATGCAATTTATCTTTCTCACTTGGATCATGGCTGAAATTCAGAGTACTGTGAGCATCTTTAGTAAGTTTAAAGAAGATTTCAATCAGTGATGAACGACACAGAAATTCAAGGAATCAGTGAGGAAATGAGTTAGATATAAACCCAAGTAGAAATGTGGTTGAATTTTTGTTAAATAATAGATTCACTCTGCTCTATCTCTTTAACCAAGGACATCAACTAAATAGACATTTTGACAGAAGTGAATTGCATATTTTGGCAACCTAAAACACTTATTTAATAAATGGCTGTTAAAAATGATTTGGTAAATGGCTGTTCAAGCAGATTAAAGGTGTGAAAAACTAATTCTTGTTTTCTAAAAACTGTTTCCTGTCTAGTTCCACCTGATCAGCCTCGGCTTACAGTGTCCAAAACGACATCTTCTTCCATTACACTCTCGTGGCTCCCTGGGGACAATGGGGGCAGTTCCATCAGAGGTAAGAGCAATAGGTTGCCCACAGTAGTTGACTGTCACTACCCCCAGGCTGATAAGTGACACATCTCCATCAAGTAATTGTTATGTGTTAGTTATAATTAATTCTCCCACCACCTAAACAGCAAGCCACACATCTATTTTTATGGTATTGACTGAAACCCATCATTCATCCAAGGCATCCCATTCACAAAATTACCATTATGCCTCCAATCTGAGTGAAAGATTAATGAAGGCAGAAAAGAAAGAATTTGGTAATCTCTCCCCCAAGATTCTGCATACTGTATCTTCCCCATGTTGTCAACACTCCATCATTCATTCACTCCTGTACTCAATCATTCATTAAAGTAATTAGTAATTACCAATTTAATTTAACTAGTAATAAAACAGTTATTGTTCCAATTTATAAAGCACAAAAAGATGGAGAACCTAGAGTTTAGGTAGGAAATGATCTATCTGCACAAAGCTTTTGCATTGAGTCCATAGCGGAAAAGAATAAAGGAAGTCTGTCCTGAGGAATGATATAGTGTGATAATTGTAGCCTGCATATAGTTGGGAAAACATCATTCTGAGCAAGCTGTGGCCACAAGAAAGGAAGAGAACCTAGAGGTCCTAGAGCACATAGAAGGGGACTTCCAAAGACAGAGGACATCCCTTCTTCTGAGTGAGGAGGGTGAGCAGACAACTGGAAATAGGGGGTCATTTCAGAGTGAAGCCAGCACTGCCCTGGAGCCAGCTCCTTCCAGTTGATGAGAGCAAGCTGTCCTATCTCTTCCCCGCCTTATACCCAGTGATTGCACCCAGGCGGAGAATCGTTACACACCCCAGAAATCAGAAATGCTACTGGTCAGGGCTTTATTATATTTTTGAACAGCCAGTTGTTAAACATTTATCAGCACTCCACTGAGAGAAAGGGAGGATCTTCCTTTTTTTTTTTGGAAAAGAAAAAAGTTAGATTTTTTTTTTAAAATAGTAAGCTGATTGGGATAAGGTTGTGTTTGTACGTTTGAAGAGTGTGGGGAAGATTTGTAACAGCTACCATGTGAAATGCACAGGGAGTCATTAATAGACCAACAAAGTCATTGCCAAGAGGGAGTGAGGCCCTATCTGCATATAAATATCCCAAATTGTGGTGGTCACAATTTCACAGTCTCATGACCTTGTCAAGTGGTGCCAGACACCTGGAAGGAAGACTGGGTCACCATTTACCAGAGCTGCTGACTGGCAGAACAAGAGCGGCCAGAGTCAGAGGAGTGAGTGCAAATAGGCTCCTGGTGGAAATGGTCTGCAGAAGGTTCTAGGCTGGTTAGAGAACATTGTTATGGAAAAAAAAAATGGAGCATCGAGGGAAGAGTTCAAGGGACTCTAGGACTCAAGGCTCAAATGAAGTAGAGTTTGGGTTCTGTAAGTGTGAGAGCCTGGGAGAGGTGGTACAGGAATTGTCAGAGCAGAAGGTCTTGACAGTGAAGCCAATTTTGGTAATGAAGAGCTTCCAAGCAAAGGCAACTGGGGGTCCCTGAAATGCAGTGGTAGCCAAAGCCATTGGCACGGGGGCTCCTGTTGCCAAGGGTTACAAGAGCTTCCCAGATGCGATTCAGGTGGAGGACATTAAAAGGAAAGTGTTCTCCCCATGATGTTCAGGGCAGCAGGGAGGTGGTTTAGGCAGAGTTGGAGTGGAAGCCAGGTAATGACAGTGGGAGCATGGGGTACCCAGATCCCTCACCCAGCTGTCAGATAATGCCGGAGCTTTGAGGGGTGCAGATCAAGGATACTGAAAGAGAAAATGAGGCTCAGAAAGGAGGAGGGACCCCAAGGCAGCAGAGGGCTAGAGGGGAGGAAAGGAGCAAAGAGTAGGGAAGATGGGGATCCTGACCACAGAAGAATCAAGGACAGGTGACCTCCATGTGAGAGGTCTGCAAAACACTTGATGCTTCCAGTGTGGGCCTAGGAGGCTCTATAGTGTGGAGTTGAGAAGTGCTTTGCCTGTGTTAAAAATGGAGCCCCGTGGGCTGGAGGGAAGATAGCAGTCCACCAGCGTGAGGACAACATGCACCAGGCAGACTGGTCCTGGGTTGCCTGGGTGTGAATGTGGAGGAGACAGGGATAGAGAAAACAGGACCTGTTTGCCCACCCCACCCCCTCACTGGCCCAGGAAATGGCTGGGGTAACAGGGATGGCGGCCATAACAAGGAGGAATATCTTAGTGATCACAAGGGCCAGGAGATCTGGCTTCAGATTCTGAAGTTGGGGTTTGAATCTTACTGACTTACAGGACCCTGGAATGGTCACCTCTCCTCTCTGGACCTCAGTGTCTTGCTCTGCACTGTGGAGATAATAATCACTGTGTCCTAAAATTATATGAGGTAATGAACATAGCAGGCTGAGGACAGTGCTTGGCACCTGGTGAGCACTCAAGAGAGGGACAGTTGATGTTCGTGGTCATGGAAGTACAGATGATAGTGGTCATGTACAGAAATGAATTTTTGGAGGGATTTTTCAGACTAAGGAGAAGCCAGGTGAACATTGAAATGTTGGGATGGCTACAGGATTTAGAGCTGTTTCCTTAGTGATCGTGGACTGGGTAGGGTATGGTTGAGGAGATTCCTACCCCCTTGAGAACATATCCCTTTTCCAGAGCTTCGGTTCTCTTAAAAATAATTCAGCTCAGTTGGTTAAGCGACTGCCTTTGGCTCAGGTCATGATCCTGGAGTCCCGGGATCGAGTCCCACATCGGGCTCCCTGCTCAGCAGGGAGTCTGCTTCTCCCTCTGACCCTCCTCCCTCTCATGCTCTCTGTCTCTCATTGTCTCTCTCGCAAATAAATAAAATCTTAAAAAAAATAATAATAATAATTCAGCTCAGACCATGTTGATACCCAAGGATTCAGGCACATATGCCCTGAGGGCAAATTTCTAGAGACTTAGTGTCCATCCTCTGCTACCTGCTACACCTTTTAAAAGGAAATGGGGAGAAAGTGGTTTTATTTCACCACACCAATTAATGATACACCCTAGTAATGTCTGGCGTGGCCTAAATACCAATGAGAACATCATCACAGCACTCCTCCCAGCCTGGGTTCAATTTCCTGGCATCAGGAAGACTTCAGATGTTCTCTTCCAAAGATACATGAACGAGGAGAATTCTTATCCCATACAAAATGCCAACATCCACCAACCCTAATAGAAAGGAAATAAGGCTCTTTTGAATATTTCTTGTGTTCTGTAGGATACATATTGCAGTACTCCGAGGATAACAGTGAACAGTGGGGAAGTTTTCCAATCAGCCCAAGTGAACGTTCTTACCGCCTGGAAAATCTGAAGTGTGGTACTTGGTACAAGTTCACTCTTACTGCCCAAAATGGAGTGGGACCGGGACGTATCAGCGAGATCATAGAAGCGAAAACGTTGGGGAAAGGTATCTATGCCTTCTGCTGTCTGCATTTCCTCTGCTTTCCAGATTGGATGGGGGACTGCAGTCACAGATGATGCGTCATATATTTGCACGCTTGTCTGTGAGTTTGAACTCTGTTATTCCCAAAACGGGTTTGGGCATGTTGCAGTGTAATGAGAGAGATGGCTGGTCTTCACAGAATATCCTGGTTCTCTTACTTCCTTATCTCATTTGCAGTGAAAAAGAAGAGCGTCCTTTGCAAACCAAGGGCTTCAGTGCCAACATAACGTGTCCTGGCTGGGTCACCATGACATATGTCATTTACCCTCTCACCTTCTAGTGTGACCTTCCCCCTCCATCACCCCATGCCCCTCTATCCATAACTTTCCCATTGCCTCCAAGGCCCCACTTTTCAGGTGGGAAATGATTGGGGTAGACTGTTGACCTTTAATGTGAATTGGTTTTTTAATCTGAAACATGAACCTTTGAGCAGAGGAACCCCTGGTGGGCGGAAATGGCACTCAGCGGTGAAATTGCAGTCTGGGGCCGCCAGTAAGGGGAGGGGTGCAGTGGCACAGAAGTGTAGATGAGGCAGTGAAGAGAGGGTCTTTGGAGCTTCCCCTCATATCTGACCCTCATCTGGTGCACAGGGCCACACTGGATAGCAAAAGAGCAAGAAATGGGAAGGCAAAGGTGCTAACTTGGATCTGCCACCTGAGTTTTGGCTAAGATGCAGCAAGGGTTCAGAGGATGAGGGATTGATTTACGCAGAAGTGTATCCATCAGGTCCCTGGGTTCCAGTAAGAAGTGCTTGGATCGTAAGAGACACCTGTTGGTACTTCCGAAATCCAACTAGACTTCTCTTGAGTCAGGTCCATCCACACGAGAGTGGAAACGGGTCAGCTCAGCACACAGTATGGGTTCCTTCAGAACCACTCAAGGAAACACATACATGAAAATAGCACTGTTCTTAGGAGCTCTGACATACACAACAGTAACCTCTACCCACCCAATTCTCCCTCTCATACTCAGGTCACTGTGGTTGGAGACAGCCCATTGGTCCATAGGTCCCTATAATAGTGGACACACTGGGACTGGTCTATGACCCAGACTTGGGCTGAGCTCCTCGCCCAGGTGGGGAAGGCAGCCAAGGGCTAATGCATGACCGTGCTGATGGCCGGCATTCATGTATCCCATGAGCTGATCCCCACTGTGCATTCTCCCACAGAGCCCCAGTTCTCGAAAGAGCAAGAACTCTTCGCCAGCATCAACACCACACGCGTGAGGCTGAACCTCATCGGCTGGAACGACGGCGGCTGTCCTATCACCTCCTTCACTCTGGAGTACAGACCCTTTGGGACCACGGTCTGGACCACAGCTCAGCGGACCTCTCTCTCCAAGTCCTACATCCTCTACGACCTGCAAGAGGCCACGTGGTACGAGCTGCAGATGAGGGTGTGCAACAGTGGCGGCTGCGCAGAGAAGCAGGCCAACTTCGCCACGCTCAACTATGATGGCAGTAAGCTGGCTGGCTCTGTGGCCCTCCCACACGTGCATGTGCTTACTGTCCCTTTCCCATCCAACATTCATCCTGGGCACAGAGCGACCAGTGCCCTCAGATCCCTTTAGGCTTCGGGGTCATTCAGCGGGCTCCCCGTGGGGCTCCCTAGTTCACTGTGTTCGCGGGACCATGGCTCTGCTCCAGAAATAAGGGACCGAGGGCCACTGGGAATCTCCTTAGGGAATCATGGTGCAGGAGTGATTTCTCTTCGGGCTGAAGGATTCTTTACCTTCCCTTACCAAACACGTGGTTCTGTGCATTTGTCAATGACTGTGTGCTAACCCTGCTTTTGTTGTCTCCCCACCCGTTCCCCACCCCATCCCAACCCACATAACTCCGTCTCTGCTCTCATTTAGCCCTTAGACTGCATGTGCAGAAACAGTCTTCATGGGACAGGAGCTTCTGGTAGTCCCTGAGCAGAAATGCAAGCACTGGCGAAAGTAATATAATACGACAGGATGTTAGTGTGTGCCCCACGCCGCCCCTCCCCTCCACACACGTGCAATTTGCTTGGACTTTCTGAAAACCAGGAGAGGTATCTTGTGATGTTTAGTCAACCAAAAATAAACAATAGAAATTTTTATGCTTTTTTTCCTACAACTAATATCAAAGGCCGTTGATTGATATCTGAACAAACGCCCAACCCAGTGAAGCTGAAAGATAGTGGGTCATTGATTGTTAGGAGGTTAGGGAACTTCAGAAAGTCTTAAATAGCATCATGTTGGTGTTGATCTCTGCAGCTTTGCAGTGACTTTCACTCAGGGAAAAGCAGTGATTGAGTTAGGTGCTCAGTCACAAGGTAAGACCTGCTGCAGTTCATCAGGAGGTTGGGAGCTCCTCCCCCGCCCCCCCCCCTCCAAGCTTTCTGGCCAACGCCACTGACCAGGTCAGACCACAGTGTTGGATGGCCCAGCCCAGAAAGTCTGAATCCGAGCAGACTAACTTTCTAGCCCTCAGTTACAAGTGACGTCATTCAAGGGTGTCCCATCCCAAACCACCACCCACAGGCAGAGTAGCCCTTCCTACTGGCTTTCTCCTCCAACAGGGTTTAATTCTTTAATCTTACAGAATAAAGGACTTTGACCTACCAAACACTTTACTTTGCATTTAAGAGTTCCCCAAAGTCCTCTGCCAGCAGGTACACATTTGGGCAGTAAGCATATTTCTTACTTTAGCTTATTGGCTTACATGAATTGACTTACGATAATCACATGCTGTCACGAAGTTTCTGTATAATGTAGATGCCAGAGCGTGGGCTTCAGTGTGCACAGTGGTGATATGGTCTTGCTAATCTTTTAATTAGAAACCACTCGCAAGCAGAATTTGAAACTGTGGTTCAAACTTGGAGAGCACTCTGCAGAATTTAAATGCTTGTCTTCTTAAAAAATGATGCTCTCATTTTATCCAGGATCTTAGATTATAATCATGCAAAAGTTCTGTGAGCTACATTTAAATTCCTGAAGTCTGAAATAACTTTATTACACTAGGAAATAAAATTACGTATTTATACTTTCCTTGAAGAGGATCATGGATTTCTCTGAACCGATCTCAGGGATATATAGCTTTAATCTCTCTCTCGTCAGATCTGACTGAAGATTTCCCTTTCATTTGGGGAGAAACAAACATTGACAGTTAGCCTCACGCGTATGCCAGTCAAATCTCCGATTCTTCCATGTCTGTATTTGACTCTTTCTTCTGCCATTTCCTTAGCCAGACCGTTTGCCTGTGTGCCTCTGCTGCCTTAGTTTTGCAGACCAGCTTCACCTGCATCCCCTTACGTGGGTTCTGAGCATCTGCAGACGTGGGTTTCCAGCTAAAAATAATGGCACATTTGGAAGAACACTTTTCTTGACCTGGGCTGCTAACATAGGGGACTGGGATTCAATTATCCCTGCTCTACTTACTAAGTGCAGGATAAAGACCATTTTTGCTCGGGAGGAAATTGCATTATTTTTGCATTATTCTTCCTAAACAGTTGACTTCCTGGCCCTTGTTTTACATGGAAAATACAGTGGGATGGAGCATCTTATGTAACGGAAGGTGCCAAAATGCATGCCCCGTAAAGTGCAGATGTATGTTTGAATCTCTGCGCCTGTTATATTCAGCCTCTGCCTAGAAAGCAGCTTCAAGTAGCTCAGAGTTCAGTCTAATTAGGTGTTTCCTTATAATTCTAAATAATCTGAATTTCCTAACACTGTATAATAATGTCTGATCACTAAGGAGCTTGCTTTGGAGACCTAGATGCTTCCTCTTTGAAAAGTTGTCTGCAGCTCTTACACCCTAAAATGAGAGTTTCTAAAGTAGGTAAAAAGCAGGTGAATCACCAGACCAAAAGGGACGCTAAGCTTCTTTAAGCCAATATATCTGGTCCAGTCTCCCTGCAGACTCCTGTCCACTGGCCAGACCTATTGTTGCTCCTCTGATGTGCAGGTTTTCAAGCAGTTGTACTATGGGGGACAATTCCAGCGAAATGCATGTGGCTTTTTTAAGCACCTAGCCTGGACATTGTGCTTTCAAGTGCCTGCACCTAGCAGTACATTGCAAAATGAAGTCCCTTTCAAAGAAATGGGCTTCAGCCTTTGTGCAAATCCTGATTTGATGTTTTGTCAAGTAAGTTGCAAGTTGGGCAGAGGAGGGGCATGAGAAAGTAAATCAATGAGCCAGGACCTAGGTAAAGAACTCCTTTCATTTCTCATCATCCTGGACACCCTTGGATCACACAGTGCGCCTCTTGTAACCATCATCCCTAAACCCTCCGCCATGCTGTCTTCATTAATAGTCATCTAACACCATGGCCCTGCTTTCAGGTACAATCCCTCCACTCATTAAGTCAGTTGTCCAAAGCGAAGAAGGCCTGACGACCAACGAGGGGCTCAAGATGCTCGTGACCATCTCCTGCATCCTGGTGGGGGTCTTGCTGCTGTTTGTGCTCCTGCTGGTGGTGCGGAGAAGGAGGCGGGAGCAGAGGCTGAAGAGACTGAGAGGTGAGTGGCGGCCCTGCAGTCACCTGCTCGCACCACTTTGTCTGGACAGCCGGCCTGGTGGGCGCTACCCCCCAGGAGAAGGGCTTTTATTCTCTAGGTCAGGTTCCCCAACTGCCAGACTCTGTGACGCGCCTTCAGCAGGGCTGCAGATCCTTAGGGGAAGAGTCACATGGATGTTACTACCCAACACAATCAGACATTGAGGGAGGGTCAACCTCACACTGGTCTCCTAAATCCTAGAAATCAGCAAAGACAATTATTTTCTCATGGGTCTTTCAACTCTGCTCACTTTAATTCTCAGCCATCGCAGCAAGGCCATCAATTATGGCGTCCTTTAAAAAGACCTATCACATTTGCTGTGGCAATGAGAACTATTTTATTGCCAGGAAGTGGAAATTGAGGGCTTATGGTAAAGCACTGTGAGGCAGAAAACACACACACTTTCCCAAATTAGAAATGTGAGCTAAAGCTCAGTGTAAGAGTTTCACTCAGACAACAAAAAAAACCATGGAAGACAAGAGCCTCGGCCAGACGAGAGCCATTGTGAGCAGGCACTGTTATTATTATGTCTAGCTCGGTGAGGTCCCGGTGACGAAGCTATTTCTAGCTTCTAGCCAAGAGCCCTTCCTTGCCCTTGCTCTGCAGTGTGAGGAAAATGAGCTTTTTCCGACATGAAACCCCATGCAGGAAGAGTGGTTCCGAGTCCTTTGCTTTTCATCTGTCAGAGTATTTAACGAAGCCCGTTTTTTGATAAAATGCATGGACACGATGTTCGCATTTCATCAGTCCAGTGCGGAGTAATGTCAGGCAGCATCCTGCATATTCCTCAAAGTTACATCCTGAGGAACAAGTCTGGAAGCCCAGTCCCCAAGACCTATCTGTGACATCCCCAGACATCGCTGATACCAATGGAAAACATCGACATCTTCTGCAAACACTTCAGTTGGCTATCACCTGATGAGAGCAGCAGAACATGGTGATACTTTCTCTTGTCTGTGCTTATGTGAAGCATTTCTCTTTATGTGGCCCTAACACAGCTTCCTATCAATTTGCTTCCACTTAACTGTAAAATTAAAATATTTGAAGTACATCATGCTCCATCTGTACATGTTAATAGCCCTTCCATTTAAATGTCCCACAGCCCCATCATTCAGATGAGCCACCGGTCTCATTGAAATATCCTTGCTAAATTCTGTTAACCACTTATTTAATTTTGCAGACTTACCTTAGTAAATCCTATATATCCTAAGCACCATGCTTGGTGCTTGATGTATCAAGATGAAGAGAAAGAGCCTTCTGAACTTTGGGTTTAGTGTGGGAGGCAGACACATGAGCATCTACCAGGAAAAGAACAAAAATGTCATGAATATTAAAATAGGGCTTCAAATAAATCCTACATATGCTCAAAAGAAGAAGCAATTAATCCCAACCGGGAGAGAAAGGGACACCATCTAAGAACTACATAAGAGCAACATATTGCTTAATATGTTGAGAAATCCAGTATAAGGTGAACTGTGTTGGATTACATTCACAAGTGCTCATCACTAAGATACCAAAAGGATGTTTTCTAACCCTTTCACAGACAACAAAATCCCATATTCTGGACTTTACAGACAATATTATTGAGGAGCCAATAACTGACAGACCAGCAAGGATCTGTCCTTGTTGCATTTAGATGGCCAGATCTAGCTAGCTGCATTTCAAAGGTTATGAATTGTTCATGTAACATCTTCTAAAACCAACAGTGAATTTTTTTTCTTAATCATTTCCATTTGATCACAAGGGTTTGGTAGCAAATGCATTAAACATGAAGGTACTCCTTCCTGGTATTCTACCACCCTCTGCCAAATTCACCATTCCTTTCCCCCCAGTTCTACTGAATTACTCCTTCCTTCCCAGCTGTTGTTTAATTTGCCCTATTCTACTCATAATCTAAGCACCCCAGTCTCTAAAGATTCTGAAGATGCCTCTAACTCTTACCAACATATTGGGCTGTACTGATGGTGGGCCCATGCACCTTTACTGTTTTTCTTAACAATGTCTTATCATTCAGGGATTGTTTTGCAAGGGCTCCTGCCAGAAAATATCCTGGGACTGGCACTGTTATTGTGGACATCTCTACTCCTAGACACCAGTATTTCATAAAGGCTTTTGGTAAAGAAAGCAGTACATCACATCAGAGAGCACAATCTTTCCTTCCCCAGAAATGGTTTTGTTTTCTTTGTGCCCGAGGAAAGACAGAGCCCACACAAAGGTTTCAGCAGGAAGAAAACAAATACTGTGGGAAAGAGTGTTTATTTATGCAAGATGCTGGGGAGCAAAGAATTCCAGGGACGCTAATTGCTGAAGTTCAGGAGTGTCTGCTGTCTTGCATTTTGTATGCACTTCGCAAAGCCTTCCAAACCCAGAGTCGGACAAGAAGGCAGTGAGAATGCAAAAGACCGGGCATCCAATTCCATGTGCTTCCTAACAGCACGTTTTATTTATTTATTTATTTACTTATTTATTTATTTATTTTATTTTATTATATTATGTTAGTCACCATACAATACTTCATTACTTTTTGATGTAGTGATCAGCACATTTTAATGCAGACGCACAGAAGTAAATTCAAATCAACAAACCACATCTGCCATGTGCGGGCTGTCACCGTTTTTAAAACGAACATAAAAGTTTCTTATTAACCACTTCTATATCTTGATCACAAGGGTTTGGTTAGGTCCCAAAGAGAAAAATGAGGACTACAATCCTGTCCCAGAACCATAGAAGCTGACACTCCAGTGGCAGTGAGTAAAGGCTTACAAGAGACAGATATCTTTCTCTAACTGTGAAAAGTGCACCATGAAAGGACAGAGTAGGTGACATAGGTTATTGGGGGCAGGGGGGCTGGTCTTGCCCCCAAAACATCTCTCTTTTAGTCCAGCAGAGCCCACACAATGTTAATTAATGACATAAAATGTTTCCAACTCACTCATAGAGGAAAACTGTAGCCAGAGCTTAATGTAGTAGGTGCCTACCTATTAAACAGAGCTCAGTGGTAGAATCACCTAGTTACAATCTGACCCACATAAGGCACAGATCCTGTGCCTGGATTAGAATGAGTTCAAATATATTTACAGATTCAACAGAAAGGGTTGCATCATACAATATTTTTATTGTCCCAAATAAAGACATTTCTAATAATATGTCAATGTTGCTTGAACAACCACCAATAAGGATCAAAACTGGAAATAAAATTTGGATTATAGAAAAATATTGTGGGATTCCTAATGGACACTGTTAGAGTTACTATTTAAGGTCAACTTCGTATTTTTGACCTTGTTTGATTGCTAGATATTTATAAGCAAGGTATGTTTTACCATGTAGACAAACAACCTAGTTAGGTGAATATAACATAACATTCTTTTAGGTAAAAATGAAGAAAGAAGGAAGGAAGAAAGGAGGGAGGGAGAGAGAGAGAGGAAAGAAGGAAGGAAAGGAAAGGAAAGGGAAGGGAAGGGAAGGGAAGGAAAGAAAGGAAAGGAAAGGAAAGGAAAGGAAAGGAAAGGAAAGGAAAGGAAAGGAAAGGAAAGAAAGGAAAGGAAAGGAAAGGAAAAGAAAAGGAAGATAGGACTCAAGCAATTTAGCCAACCTATATTTCTTCCTTCCTGAGAACTTTACTAATTTTAGAGCATAGCGACCTCCTAAGTCTAAATTGTCTGCAAGTGCTACATTTTTAAAAAAAATCTGTAACCTTATCCAGGAGTCCAGAAGCCATATTTTGCTTGTAATCATGCCCTGATTTTTCCCCACTTATAAATCCTTCAAAGTGCAAGGTTACAGAACAAATCTCTGGCTGGGTCCATAATCCCAGAAGCCCTAACCTTGTAAAAATTTGATTCCCACATCAAGTAATCAACACCAGTATCACTAAAAACTTCCTCCTTTAGTGTGAGTCTACCCAAGAAGGTGCAAAGTTATGTTGGCACCAGCCAGTTGGGTCAACTGGCATGCCAAGCCTAAAAGCTACTTCTGGAACTTCAAATAAACTAAAGATAAAAGTCAATGGAGGATATAAAATTTGACCATGCTTCTGTGGCAAAATGCCTTTCTTCCTGTGAACAGAAGCCTAGTTATTTTAAGCATGCTTTGAAATGGGTTAATATTATAAAAACAGATCAGTTCTGGAAGGCCACTCCCAGAGAGAATGTGGCCTCGTGGTTCTACATGGGCTCAGGTGAAGGGGCGGGCCATGAGGGATGGCCAGCATCTGCTGAGCTCCAACATCCCATTCATCTGCTCTGCAAATGAGCTAAATGCTTTCCTTAGTTGTAAGACCAAAAATTCGCTTGAACTTTAATAATCTAAAGGAAGAGCAGTGTAGAGACTTCTTCACCAAGCTAATGAATGTCCAAACTGTGGTTTATTTGAGATCAGAAACATGTGCTCTGAAACTTTATTTCTCTTCCTTCCTTCCTTCTTCCTTCCTTCTTTCCTTCCCTATTTCCTTCCTTCTTTTCTTTTTTTTTCTTTTTTTAAGCCTTAATTTCTTAATAAAATTATTCTTTCAAAACTCCAAATTTGCAATGGGAGAATTGAGTAAAAGGGGTCTCTGTATCAGAGTGGGGAGCAAAGGAGCATTAGGATGGCAGCAGGGCCAAGCCAAGGGCAGCCAGTGGAGCGAGGTACAGAGAGCGGGTAGTAAGGAGGGAGAGAGTTGGCGTCAGGCCTGGCGCCTTGCCCCCCTGGGTGTTCTAGTTGGTCCGTGTTTGTACTTGCAGTTTTCTTAGATTGCAAGTATATATTGTTTTCTTTTTTGAATATTTATTTAGTTGTGGTTTTTGGATCAGCTTTCATAGCATGCTGATGATTGGAAGTCCTATTTGTCATCTGGTAAAAAAACATAAATGCAGGCTCATAGCTCTTACGAAAAGATCTACTTTATGAGACCCATTTCAATTCCACAGAAAAGCAGGGATTGTTGTCAGGGAGTTTGCAAAGAACTCTTGATAGATAGTAAA